AATAAATGCGGTAACAATTTCACCAAAATCTTGTTAAATTATTCCAATTTATCCACTCATTCATGCATTCAATGACCTGATACGTGATACAAAATAAGTGTACCAGGCAACTGTGATTTGTTTCAAAGAATGAGAGTCAAATCAAAGTCATTTCGAGATACATTTATTTCCATTTTTTTTATTTTGACATTTTAGATACAGATACCACTTGAGTTAAAAATGATTTGAATTTAAAGTGTCATTGAGTACACACAATATTTCATTTAAATAATTTTTGGTGGCATTGCTTTCTTATCTTATGCGACTAATAGGAATGATTGAACAAGGAATCAATTGAAGCTAAAACAACTATGTGTTGTGCGTGACAAGTGTTCCCACAGTCAGAACATGTACAAGAAATATTCACACCGTTCAGTTATAAAATATTAAACTTACGTGGCGAGACCAAGACCAGGAAGGTAGGAGTGGATATCTGCAATAAAGTTAAAACCACAAATGAGTTTTAAAAATTACAGGAAAGTTTAACTCAGCTCAAAATGCAACAGATCATTACAAAATATTTTCTATGGTTACGTACTGATGAACATTTCTTCTTTATTGTGTTTTTCCTGAGTGTCTGTGACTGTACTGGTCACATGACTCACAACTTCTCCAATGAAAAATCCTTCCTGTAAAATAACAAAGATAGTTTTATGTTCTAATGATTTGTTGCAGTGATTCATGAAAAATCAAATGAGAATTGAAGAAATACTGGGAGACAAAAAGAGAAATTCTGAGGGTCAGGTGGTGCGAAAACCCATTTTTAATCAACTGTACACTAACAGTGGGAACAAAAATAAACTGAACTGTCATGAAACCTCTATTTCCCTATCAGTTTCCTTTGAATATTCAAATATCTCTTTGTGGATTTGGTTTTGAATTTGGCACTTCCAATCCGAAAGCCAGCACTCCTAAACACAACCATTGTTCACCAGAGATGTTGGGTGATAAAGATTAGATACAGAATACAAATATGAGAATGAAAATTTAAATTATGGTTCAAGGAATGAATATTATTCGACGTTGCTTTCCATATTCAAATCACAACTGTTGATTAGCCCTGTTCTGAATCACGTTGCAGATGGTGAGATATGTTGCTCTGTGAAAACCATTTTCAATCAGATTTTAGGTGAAAGAGTTGTGTGAAATATCACAAAAATGGTGAATTTTTGTGTCATAAGAGCACTTTTTACATTTTTTTACACTTTTACATACATCACATGTGTTCAAACACCCCCATCATATTTTTGACATACATATTTCCAATGGTTGATTTCAAAATCAAAACAAACACTGCTAGAATCTTCCATGGGATACTGCAATGTCCACGGGAAATTAATAGGGAGATAATTGATTTTATGACCAGTTTATTTTGGAGATCACTGTAGTCAGAAGAGTTTTCATGAACATTTGTATGGTGGGTATTACCAAGGATTTATAAGATTTCAACTTTTACAATCATAATAATATGAGATGAAGATCTCACAAAAAGACGACTAAACTCGCTTTTCAATATAAGCCCCCCTCCACAATA